TAATCGTGCAGCCCTAGTTACTACAGAAACAAATAGGCACATAATCAGAAATGAATAAAACCGAAACAGAGAGGACAAACCGGGACAACTGGAATCAGAACAGAGTGTCTAAATAAAAGTCAACAGAACGGAACGTAATCCAAACAGTAATGACACTAGTGACAAAATGTTGATTTTTTTGGGTGAACTGTCCCTTTAAGGTGTGGTCAGATAGATTTACTGCTTAAATATGGCTTATTCCGCCACAATCTGCACAACGTCAAACAGTTTGTTCCCTGACAACAAGAGACTCCAAGAAACATCCAGTGGTTTTTCCAAAAACAATATTTTGACATCATTCACTCATTGCGCAAATCATGTATTGATTGTATTGATCATGTATTGATACACCATTAATTTGGAGGAATGAAGTTTCATTTTCAAAAGAACTATTCATTTTGACAAGACCTGTTTTAATGTAAAGTCACATTAAAAGTTTTGAAATGATTAGTATTATTATTATTTTTAATGTCAAAAGCTGCTGTTCAAGAAGCATTTAACAGATAAACAAGTTTGTGACAGTGAGCCTGGATAAACCAGTTTGATTGAGGATGTACTGAACGTTAAAGTAACACCCAAACAATAAATGGATTGTCTCCATGCAAAAGGTCATTGCTGAACATTACGTAGCGTGCAAATGATTACTGTAATCCTGACCTCGTCAACAGACAAGCATACTTGCACCTGTAACAGATTCAGGTGTTTTTAAGGACAATGCAAGCAAGGGAGGCGTCTTTGTTGTTGCTGCTAAAGAGCAGTAAAACTCGCTTATCATGCATTCTGGGAATCTGGAAGGTGTGTCTACCACAAGAGCGAGACGAGGCTGTATTGTGTGTTGCAGGTTTTTCAGTCGGTGCAGTTGCATTTGTGTTCATGTGCGTCTTTGCATGCATGCAACACAACTCCTCCAGAGAACACGGGGAGGCCGTTTTCAACACAAGACTGATACTGGACAAAACACCAGTGTCTGGTTTCCTGCGAACAATGCACAGCAAAGCTGTCAGATTTTCACCCCTCTAAATTAATCTTGCATATTTAGTATAATTCTGCTAAAGTGGATTGTGACCCATGTGACAGAAACAAAACAGAGTGATGCAACATGTTGTGAACAGACCCTGTGCCAAAATATATTGCAATCTCTCTTACAACCCAATTATTACATACACCTGCTGAAAAAAAAAAAAAGTCAAACCTGGACTTAAATGGGTTAAATTTGTGTTTTTTCCCATTTTTTTTCTCCATAGAGTATGAAAATCTGTTCTGCGTGATGACCTCTTTCCCTGGTGGGACAAAATCTTCTGTACAAAAAAACCTATTGTGTAACAGCCTTACATTTAGCCCGTATTAAAAGTACATACATTTGAGTGAACATCTTTATACCATCATGCAGTTCTTTTAAAGTAAAACCATTCCACACAAGTGCTGTCTACACAGAGACATCAGTTAACATCCACCTGTTGCTGTGAGCCGTGGAGCGAAACTCTCCTATTATACCAGCATTTTAAGAAACTCTTACCTGCACGCTTCTGTCTGGATGCGACTCATAACACCAGCTGTCGGGGTTACGCCATAAACGGAGTGTTATTATAAAGCATAACTGCGCGTGTCTTGAGGCAAAGTGAAGCCACTGCTGTGTCCAGAGCTGATCAGCGAGAGGGGCGGGGCCACAAAGGGGCGGGGCGATTACAGGAAAAAGTTAGTGAGCTGTCCATCAATGGCCCTCATATTTGTTTATGTAAATGTTAATGCTGCATAGCTGTACACATGTAATATGAATAGTAAGCCTAGAGTTAAAGTAACAGTTCACCCCCCCAAAAAAAAAAAAATAATAATAATAATAGGGCATCATTTACTCACCCTCAAGTTGTTTAAAAAGCAGTTTCTTTCTTCAGTTGAACACAAAAGAAGACATTTTTATTAACGTTGGTTGACGGCCATTGACTTCCATAGTATGTTCTTCTATACTTGGAGATCAGTGGCTAACAGTATTTTCATGCAGGCTGACTAAATGACAGTAATTTCATTTTTGCATATCTGTATTTGCATCTTCAAATGCCACAAATGGGGGGAAAAAAACAATGGAAGCCTTGTTTGCAATCTGCTTTCAGTAGTGCTATGCATGACCCAGCTATGCAAGATCCAAATACCAAGCTGATTGTGATCATAATTATACCATCAGAGCTCAAGTTCTCCTAGAAGTCCAGATGAATGTACATTTTATAACTTTATTTGTGGTAATGCATTTATGCTTTCACTAACCTAGAGTTAAGGTAGAATACAGTGTTGGGGGTAACGCGTGACTTTTTTCAAGTAACTAGCAAAGTAACACATTACCTTTAAATTTACAGCAAAATATTGGAGTTACTTTTTTTGAACAAGTACTTTGTTTTCCCATTTATTCACTGATTTGAGGCGGATTAATTCCACTTTTGATGTGAAAGGTCCTTCACAGTTGCCAAAAATATATCTTTTGGGCTTTTTGTTATTACAAATAAGCAAGCTCAGCTCAAAAAGTAAATCAAAAGTAACAATGCATTATTTTACGCAAAACACAATTAGTTACTTTATGGTGTAACACCATATTGTAATGCACTACTTTTAAAACACTGGTAGAATTGACTTTAAACCTATGATTTCAGACTGCATGGAATATTTCCAGCTTACTTCTAAACCTCCATTTGTCACATAGCAGAATCATTAACAGCAGCTGTAAAAAGGTGATTAAAATGATATATCGGACACTTGTTAGTGCATTTCTTTCTGGCCTTCTGCATTAAATTCATAGCATGTTCTTCATGCTAAATTAAGGTTCAAAACTACACAGCAATGCTCAAAAACACTTTTACGGTTTCAAAAGTAATTCAAATCAGAGCCAAAGCTTTTTAATCATATATATTTTATTCTCAATACAGCAAAATACAAAGATGATTCGCAACAGACTCAGAAAATCCATTAGTAATACTCACTTCACCAAAAAAAAAAAAAAAGTTATTACAAGTTTGTATAATCGAGGCTCATAAGAGTACCTTTAAATCATATTGCATCCATATATGAATATATATATATATGTGTGTAGATTTCTTCTCGTCAATCTCTTGTTAATACTTTTAAATCTAAATTGATTTTATACTGCTTGCCAATGATTGTTTTGAGATCATTATAAAATGAGTACTACATACAGACATCGAGAACTGCTCAAAACGATGAAGTTTCTGTCACTAATGGCAGATCTTTCTTATAGTCAACTGCATTTCAACCTGACCAACACCATTTAAATGACAAAGCCATGTTCATATAGCACAGGAAATCTGAACACGACATCACAAAAAAAAAAAAAATGTGCATTTCATATATTCACATTCTATTTACAATTAATACAAATGTTAAATCGTCGTAAAAATTTACCCTAAAAGAGAATTTGTATGTACATCTGTACAGCTTAGTATTTAAATAGAAACATGCGAGTGTTATTTTTCAACTGGATGAAGAAAAAAAAGAAAGGTATCTCACCCTGGGTAAAGTTATGATCACAAAGAAAATTAAATATGGACTTAAATCAATCAGTCAGTCTGATCCTCCAAAGCACTACCATGAACTCTAGTAGAAAAGATAAAAACAGGGAGAGAAAAAAAAAAAAAGGACAGCACAACAACATGTCTGGAGAAGCAAAAAGGCCATGGGAACGATCCATATTCATATGCAGTTACTTTATCATCACGAATCTGGTACAGAAATCACATTAGTGCATGAATTAATTTACATAAAAGCACAATTAACAGACCTCACCCCTATAACACAATGAATTTATTGACTCTCTAAATTAAAATGATGCTGAAATGATGCTCATGACAAGAGCATCAGTGGTATATCTAGTGGCCAGCCATTAAATGTTTAACCTCTACAAGTTTGCTTTAACTGATGAAAATTTTAATTGGCAGGAGTCCTCGTTAGCTACTGCACAAACGAGCTAGAAAAACATCTGCATAGACAGAAAAAAAAA